AAAAAACCAACAACAACAACAACAATTAAGCCTCAATCTCAAGCAAGTTACGATCGACATATTTATTGTGAGGATTCATCACGAATGCTAGTTTTACATTGGCTGCTAGCCTATCCCAACCCTCATCTTTTATTCAGTCTTCGGACCAGCAAATATGAGCAAGCTCACATGGGCAGAAGCTTGAATATGTCCTGCTGAAGCTTCTCTTCCTTGGGTGAACATATATAAGCATTATCGATTCCATTCCACCAAAAGCAGGCACCATAGCTCGTTTGCTACTTCTCACTGTAGTAATAGGTGATCCGTGATTTTGTCCTCTTTCTCACACATAAAGCAACAAGCATATTGATCTCCTGTTTCAATGGATTTTATTCAGTGTTATCGGCCCTTTGTCTTCCATCCAACTTCCCTTGGAAATAGAACCAACGTACTATTGTTTTTCAGGACGAGAAATAGTAGCACATAAACTGAAAAATTGCCTGATTTCTCTGGCTTCCCCTCTTTCATCTGGCTGCACATTCATCTCTAAAGTCTGTGTACTTCCTGCACGGATTGACATGAACAATATGGCACAGTAATCATATTATATTCTCATGATAATAATTGCTTATTCTTTTATTGTACCAGATTGGAAACTGTGTTGGTGCAGCAAACCATCGGCACTTTGTCATTTTCCTCATTTCAGCAATCATTAGCATGGTTTACGCATCCATCATGTCTGCCTATGCAGCTTATCATGTTTGGCCACCATTAAACAGCTGGCAAGTCCGACTTCTGAATGGGGCAGTTGGTCAAAAGTTGCTTTTGAAAATGTTAAGAGAAATTTTTCTGGCATTTGGCAGTTCTATGTTGTTTCTACCAGCGAGAGGACTTGTTCTTGTTTACCTCTTTATTGCTAGTGTCTCTATCGAGATAGGTTTAAGCGTGCTTTTGTGGCAGCAACTCTGTTTCATATATGAAGGCAAGACATACTTGAGTCATATAAGTGCAGCTGGAGGTGACAGTACTGCAGTAAAAGATTGCCAAAATTTCATCCGATTCTTTGGCTGCCCTTATTATACTACAACGAGGTTGTTGCCGAGCTTCTTCAGTTCTAAGAAGAGACACAAAAAATGAAGCTTCAAAGAGGTGAATCAATTACTCCTTGTTTGCTCTTCATACATCAACATAGAATATACAAGTCTCTTTATTGATTTTTTTAAGAGCCATTAGTGTGCAGGAAGTTTTGAATTCTCCCAAATACTGATTTAGTTTATGGTATCTAGTTGGGAAGTTTTCCCATTTTTATAAGCTGAAATTTTTCTTAGATCATGTGCTTATCTAAGAAAACACTGCGTTGGCACTGCCTTCAGATTGAAACATTTCCCCCTTGGGTCTCTTTTGGCAGTCTGCAACATAAGAATTAGATAACAGTTGTGTTTCATTTTTTTCAAAGAATGTGTTCTTTGGGTGGATTGGGAAGGAACTAATTTGTTTTCGAACCTGGGACCTCAAATTAATTTTTTCTTAATTCTTTATTTTTTAATCTTTTATTATGTATGTATGGTAATAGAAGTATACTCATTGTTTGCAAGTTTGTAATTTGTATACTGGTCTTATAATATTTTGCTGAAAGTGAAAGGGGAACTAAAAACATGTGATATTTAGATGCTTCAAAACATGGACTTGAAATTGTGCTTATATCAACCTGCTCTAGGTAGAAATCGAAACAGACGCTTAGGGAAGGGCTTTTTTGTTTGTGTGTGTGTGTGTGTGTGTTGGTCCAGAGGACAAAACTACTTATATTAAGTTAAACATTGTGTAGTACAAGGAGCTAAAGATAGCGTAGGCGTTAACCTATGGGAGCGACCTCGTGATGGGTCATAACAAAAAGGAAACTAGTGGTAGAACTAGTACTAGTCGTCCATGTTGCCAGGGAATTACAAACAAGTCGTGTAGGTGGACGCGATACACACACATCTAGTTGATGGTACAACTTGTCTAACAAAAAGCGTTCCTAAATGGTCATCCTCCAGAGCCGTATGAACAAAGTAAAAGATGGAGGTTGTATAAATATGGTAATGTCCTTTAGAGCTATCCATATTGCAACCACATTTCGCTAGTAGATCTGCGACCTTGTTTTGTTTCCTCTACATATGCAGTATGATAGGATCATCCAGCTGCCGGATAAAAAACCTGCAATCATGAAGAATATTTCCAGCAGTTTTTGTATCCATGAATAAGTATAGGGAAGGTAATAAAGTGGCAAATGACATGGCGAAATATAGAAGCAATTAAGATGTTTTTGAAAGCTTAATGGTCTATGATATAGTATCTCCTACTTTTGTAATATCTTCTTTCGAAAATAATTGTTTTGGTACCTATATTCTCTACTATACTAGTAATAATAGTAGTTTAGTTCTTTTTTTTTTAAAAAAAAAAAAACAAAAAAGGGAACTAAAAGCAACTGAGAATTGTAGGGGTAAGGTCTGCGTACATACAACCTTCCCCAGACCCCACTTGTGGGATTATACTGGGTCGTTGTTGTTGTTGTTGTTGTTGCCTCTAGGAGTGGCAAACGGGCGGGTCGGGTCGGATATGGTTCGGGTTAAATACGGGTAATGAAAAAACGGATCAATTATCCGACCCACCCCATTTTTAATACGAAAAAAAAAACGGGTTAAAACGGATAAAAAAACGGGAACTTCTTGTATATGATCACTTTTGGGAGAATTCTTAATCTCTCTAACTTGAGGAACCCCAAATTTGAGGCTTTACAGATGTAAAAGTTAGACTCATTGGTTATCCATTTTCTAAATGGATAATATGGTTTTTATCCATATTTGACCCGTTTTAAAAAAGTTTATTATCCAACCCATTTTTTAGTGGATATAATATGGGTGGTTAATTGTTTTCTTTGAACAATTTTGCCACCCCTATTTGCCTCTCAAGGTGCATTCCGAGATAAGTAGTTTCACTTGGTTTGGCCAAATACATAAGCAGTCCCTCAAATTTATTTAGACACTTGAACTAACGTTTGTTCTTGAACACCTAAACTCAAATTAAAATGTATCTAAACATGTTTTGCTGACATGGCTTAGTATGTGTGCCACACTTGATTCTAAGCGCGTAAGCTATTGTTTTTCACACAGGAAAAAACTCTCCTTCTCACTCAGCTTCCCAACCACAATCTCCTCCAGCTTCTGCCACCATCCGGCGCCATCCACCTTCTGCAATCCGTGTCTTTGAGCCATTATAAAGTATTACCTAACACCAACCATGAAAACTCCATCGGCATTGTTAGTACCGGCAACGATCATGCCGTCAACTCAAAGTAAAGATTCTTCAATCTTCAACGATTCTTTCTTGATGAACCAATTTTCTCTTTTTGTACATTTTTCACTAATCATAGTCAAAACTTGGAAAGTAATTTTTTGTATGAAAACGAGATAGGAAAATAAAATAGAAGAAAAGTTATGAAAACAAGAAAAAAATCTGTCGAAAAATTATCCACAAATTTTTCATTTACCCAATGTCTTACCATTGTATTTGGAGTCATCTCCAGAACAATTTCGTTACCTAATTCAATATGGTTAAAGTGATTACTAATTTTGAAAGGAAGAAAAAGTGATTACTGATAAAGACGTGAAGAAGAAGGGCAGGGGAGGGGGGGATTTCCAGGTGTCGCATGTTAATTCGTTTAATTTGCCATGTTGGAGGCGCTTGGCCCCACGCTCTTAAGTTATTGATGAGGTTGTGCTAACCGTGCCTAATACACACAGTTTGATTTGAGTTCAGGTGTTCAATGGGAACATATCCTAGGTGTTCAATATTACTTAAGGGGTTGCTTATGTATTTGGCCAATACTACTTGACATGCATTTCAATATTGAATATGTAATATTTGAGCAACTTAAAAAAAATATCCAAATATAGTGGATGTTTGAACAATTAATTATGTTGCTCTTTCTTTTTCCTTCTCTCTAGCTTTTCCGAGGAAATGTTTTTTCATTATCAGTTATAATTTGAATACGAGAAAATAACTCCTAAATATATCTAACATTTTATTTATGGAACGATTTTTTATGTAAAAGGATATATAACTAAAAGTAACATTTTTTTTATTAGCCATCAAATCGATCTCCTATCTAATTTTAAGATTACCAAATTCGGGTTGAAAGTTATGAGTAGTTTATAAGGGGACTCACATTATAAACGAATTAACATTGAAAACGAATTAGTCCTTTCGAGGACATCCAATAAAATTGGTTAGATATAGAGAAAATGAATCATCTAATCAAAAATAAATTACACTTCAAGTTCAAACTAAATAGGGTCTACTTACTCTACTATATGAATCTTTCAAATTGTTTTTCTTATGTTCGTTTTCATTTCATTAAGTGCCTCTCAACGAACTATATATATATATAAAAAAAAACTGTGGGAAATAAAAGTGTGATGTGGCACCTCTTTTTAGCCAAGAAACTCACTTATTTTTTTCTCATTTTTTTGAGTTTTCCCCTCTCATTTTTGCATTTATCTTATTTTTAGTAGCCAAAAAACTCTTCATGTTCTTAAAAGACACGTTCAAAAGAACACGTCCATTATAGTTACACTTGATAGATTTAATACTCATTGCATTAATTATAACTAGTATTAGTACCCGTGCGATGCGCGGACATAAACAACATCAAATTATGATTTGAATAATTTGAATTATGTGCAAATAACCTTAAAATTAAACCTTCTATATAGAAATTATAAACAATTATTAGATATTAATTAAGAAGCAGACATGAAATCATTTTTCAGGTCTCGTACTGGATAACATATTATCTTTTTCTATACCATAATAATCCAACCCCTTGATTTTGGTACTTTGTATTTTATTTTACGGACAATATTAAAGAATATTAAACATATAACATTGTGATCTATCTTGTTTGAGCACAATAAATCATATTAGTTTAGCAAAATTCTTACTACCGCTTTGTTTTACATCTCAAGTTCAAATAAGTCTTATCCTTCTATATTTTTAGATAATTTTTTTTCTTTTTATTCTTTGCCTATAATTATTGCATTATTTATTACTTATTGTTATATTGTAATGTAATCTTATATTAGCTTATAAATTGACTTAATGTCTTGCTTATGACCCTAATAATAATCATCAATAAATATAAAAAAAATTATGCTTAAAATTTAGTGTATTCTTACATTGTTATTCTCTTACTCAAAACTCTTTCATCATTCAAATTTACCAATAAAATTTTTGAGTATTATTTAATAATTTAATTCACATATTTTAAATAAATTTAAAATAAAAGCATCATCGCACTATCTATATTTTCCTCTTTATACATTTTCTTCCCTATTAAAAAAATTTAATTAGCTTTTACACAAAATTTTTTGGTCGACTCTCAAATAATATCACGTTTATTTAAAAAAATAATTTTTAATTAGTCTAAAATTAATACATAAGTTCTTTTATTGTTTCAAGTTTATTGAATTTTCTTATAATTATTTTTTGTATTACGTGCAATTAAATTTTCTTTCTCTTTTATTTTCAAGATAAAAATTTAGCTTTTAATTTTCATTAGTAAAATTACCTACATGAGATATTTATTTAATATATTAAAATTTTAATTTGATATCAAATTCTTATTTTCCTTTATCTAGCAAATCTTGAATTTTGTGATCATGCCCATATTTTGAGCATTCTGATTATAACTTTAAGAACTTTCTAATCTCAAGTTCAAATAGTCTTTTCCTTACTTTTGCTATAATGTTAACTAATATGTAATATTATCACGTTTTCATGTAATTTTTTTTATTAATTTTATACTTTATTTAATATTCCTATCCACTACTATTTTTTAATATAATATAGATAGATATGTAACTATTTAATATTAAATTAAATATTTATTTTATTTTAAACTATTGATTGAAAATTTTAAATTATTTAAATAATATTTTAAGTGTTGTATACTTGATTTATTTTATTTTCTAAAGTAATTCTTGGTATAAATATCCTCACATTATTTTTAATTTATTTTATTATTTAATAATTTTTATTTTTATTTTGTCTATTAGACTTTAGTTATGTGGTCTTATCCACATGCATGCCATTTCTTATCATACTCAAACAAAAATTTCACATCTCAAATTTAAATAAGTTTTAACCTTCTTTTTTGTATGATAAATTTTTTGACTTTTTTCTCTATTTGTTCCTTAGTTTTGCTGTTATATTATTCAATACTTAATTTTATTACATTGTCATATGGCTTTACATTAGCTTATCTGAAATTAATATCTGTTTTTATCATGTTAAGATTTGTCTTATTAAGTTTAAAATTTTAATTATATAAAAAATATTTATTACATATAAAATAGTAGTTTGCCCAATTTGTCAATACTACTATGACTTTATTATTCTTGTTATTAAAATATTTTTTACTGATTTTTTATTATTATTTTTAAAGTCGTTAAATATTTAATATCTTAAGCAAATTATAGGGTTTTTTTGTATTGTATCT